CATTGAAGATGAATGCACAACAAATTCTGAATCCAGTGTCTAACACGTTTAACCTTTGATGTCTTCTTGATCAAATCTTGTTATAACAGACATGTCATTGAGCTTTTGATCTAGTAATCTTCGATGTCACCATGGCTTTGCAATTTCAATATCTGATTCGTTCGAGAAAGAGATTTTTGTTCCACGAGAAGAAGATCAGTGATCTGTGCTTCCTAAGAAGAATACATATGATCTTAATATTCGGGGAAAAGACAATGGTTTTTCTGGAACAATGGCAAGAATAAAAAATCACTTCCCACTGACGGCGCCAATGTTCTAATTAGAAAACTAGAGATATGTGATGCCATGATGAAATAAAGCTCAAGCACGTTGGATTAGACTTCCGGTGCGGTGAATCAGGATTCTGCTATACTAGTAGGGATGGAAATAGACTGGGTCAAGTTAGGCTTTGCCAAGCCTAAGTGAGGCTTGTCAAAAAAACTAAAGCCTAAGTCTGGCCTGTAGTATGTCATAAGCTTATTTTTGGGCTTGAGCCTAACCTTTTCTAAGGCCTGGTTAGCTTGTTAGCCCACATAAAAGCCTATTATTTTAGACATATGTTAATAAGCAATTAAAATAATATTTAAATAGACTAACAAACTAAAAAATATATGAGACTAAAATTTTGTTTGCATTGCCTTATTTTAACTTATCTATTAACATAAGTTTTGTGAGATTATTTGTTTAAGATAACTTATGAAAATAACTTATAACATTGTTCATAAGGTATGTTCATCTTATTTTCATAAGTTATTCAAGATAACAAATTTATATTTATGTATTTTAATTCAAAGCACAAAACATAACATAATGATAAAAAAAAATTATTCTTATTTATTTAAATAGGCCGACATGTTAGACCGAAAAGACTTTTTTCATGGCCTGAAGATTAACCTTTTTAACTAAATAGGCTTATAAAAAAGCCTAGGCCTTTTCCATTTTAAAAAAAGCTTGGCCTGGCCTGAGCCTTTGTAGGCTAGGTTGTAGTCCCCTGTTATCGGTCTGACTTATTTCCACCACTATATGCCAGAGAAAGGGGTGAATATGCAGGGTTAACACTCTAACGCTCTAGTTAGTGATTGAGTGAAAAGTAGTTTGAGAGTGAAAATGAACTAAATATCTAAAATGATGCGGGTGCGACCTAATCTTTCTATAGTATGAGTAGTTAAAATCGTCAGCGTGTAATTCAACGCTTTGTATGGGTTGTCGATTGATTAGATCCAACTGTGAAAAATGTAATGGAGGGCGTGATTCTGTGTTCTTAACAGAGATAATGGTCCATGTATTTCATGCGTCTTTTTCTTCAACGAATCTTCTTTTTAAGTCTTGCAGACGGTCCAAATCATTATTTATGTTTGCAATTCGAATTGAAATCTTATTTGAAAAACCAAAGTTCAAATTCATTAACTTTGATTTTTTTTTTCACTATTGTATTTATTAAGCAATATTAACATATTAACATAAATGACTAGATGAATTTTAAAATAAATGAAAGGGTGGAAAAAAGTAAATATATTATAGGGTAGTTACTAAGGATAAGAAATACACGTATTGTATTTGAATGACATGATAAGAAATACACGTATTGTACTTAAATAACAAGTAAAATTTCTTATCAAACACTTAACACTTAACAGCTCAAAATCATAATATTTTTTAATGATTGAAAAATAGCATATGTTAGGACTAAAATCTTATTATAAGCCAAAGTGACCCCATGTTTCACTTTTTTTATAATTTGTTGCAACCAATTAACTTTTGACAAGAGCTACTAATTAATTCTAGTGAATTTCAGAAAATTAAATTTATGTACCTAAAAAAGCTCAAAGTGATAAAATCTTATATGTCCCTTTCATCTTTACAAAATAAGAGACTTAATCTCCAATGTATGTCAATGACAAAATTATGCCATGAAAAGAAAAAAATAAAGAAAGCATTGCTTTGTTGGGAGGTGTTCATTGTTTGCTTCTGAAGTATGTTAATAAGTGGTTAGCCCCTTAATGAAACTCATGCATAAAATGTAAGCTTCACACAACTATATATTCAAATAATTATTTTCACATTAACAAACATATGTTTGCTAAAAAGTGTAAGCTACACACAACAATATTTGAATATAATATTCATATTAGCAAATAATGTCAAGCTTGCTTCACTTTATCTATTAAATTAACAAAATCAGTGTCACTAATTTCTTTTTCCAATTCCGATGCAGTTTACGAGATATTGCCTATTTTAAGTGTAAAAATTCTTACAATTTTATCTATTAAAACACCATCTCGTTAGATTGAAGTGAATGTATATTGTATATAAACTATTTTTAATTTTGAATATAAGACAATGTGAGACTACTTTGCCTAACTCATAATAAAAATTATTCAGATCTCTTATAGCTAAATTTTTCAAACACAAATTTAATATTTTTTATTTACAAAATCTATTTTCAAATAATTATAATAAACCGTAAAGTTCTTTTTTTTTTTTTTTGCGATACTAAATTGTTAGAGTTGAATTCAAACTAAAAATCTTAATTTAAACTAAAAAAATCCGAATCCTCTCATCACTCTAATATTTAATATTTAACCAGTAATTTTAAATATAAACTCTATCTTATATCGTTTGTAGTTTTCTAAATATTTTAGATTTTTAAATTTTTGTAAAAATTCTTCTTTAAAAGTTTGTATAATATTTTTCATCCATATTTTTGATATGCTAATCTCTGTAGTATGACACCTGACAATACCAATGTGACAAATATGCTGATATAAGTGTCATGTAACATTTTGTCACTATTTTATATTATTTATATTAATTAAATTTATAGCAACGAAGATTTCGTCGCTAACACGAACATCATAAAAAACTCAGAAACCATAGCAAATCTATAGCTAATTTGTAGATAATTATACACATCATTTTATGACCTAGACTTTGTTTTTTTTAATGATTTTTTTAAATAATGTTTATCACATTATAAGGATCTCTCTTACAAAAAAATTATTTTTTTTGACTTGATATAATTTAAATATGAATTTTTAAAGAGCCGATTTTCTATGAACCGAAATAAGAAAAACATTAACATATCATTAAACTTTAGGCTATTATTTTGCAGAGACTTATCTCATAATATATATAAAGTATTTGCAAAGTTTCATTACATTCTGGTTAAGTTTCAATTTTTTTGATATGTTGATTAAAATACATATATATGTATTTCGATCAAAAAATCAAAATAAACCAAGACTTATTTGAATTGCCATGAAAGTTTGATGATAGTTTTTATGTGTTATGATTTAAGTTTCTGCAAAGATTAGCTGAAAATTCAATCATATAAAAATATTGGCGGTATTTTTGTTTCATAGAAAATTAGTTCTTAAAAATTTCACATTTAATTCATTTCAAGTAAAAAATATTTAAACTTTTGTGAGAGAGATCTTTATAATGTGATAAACTTTTTTGAAAAAATCATGAAAAGAATGAAGTCTAGGACATAAGAATGACATGTTTGAATTAGCTAAAGATTAACTACGAATTAGCTAACGATTTATAGTATATTTTATAATATTTATATAAGCAACGAATTTAGTGATGAAATCTCTGTCAAAATAAATTTAATAAATATAAATAATATAAAATAGTAAAAAAATGCCATATGTCATAGTGTCACCGCCTTTGTCACGTTGACATTACCACATGTTATGACACATCAGTTTTTGTTTTTTATTTATTATAAGCAAGTATTTTATAAAGCATGGATGCAAAATATTTAGATGAGCTTTGAAAATTTCTTTTTATAAAACTAAAAGTGAAATTTGAGATATTTAGAAAAACTGCTGACATATTTAACTCGATATTAAATAAATCTCTAAAAATTTTCTGAAAGTTTTATCGTTTATATTATTATTCTTTATTCAAAGAACTATTTTTTAAAATGCACCAAAATATACAAAATTGAATCAGTTGCGATTATTAAATTCACACATTCACGTATTTGAGTTATTAGTAGCGTTTCGATCAGAATCAAATGACTTAGTAACAATATATTTTTATTTTAAGTTCAAATTGTTCAATCTTAATCAAACAGTCACTAATATTTCGAATACGTGAATGTGATTTGCTGATCGCAGAAAGACTCTATCGATCAATCGAGATATACCCTACATGCCAATTAAATAATTTTGGCGGCAGCATATCCCCTCTCTCTCTCTCTCTCTTTCTAGCTACAACACACGTGAAATTGAAGTTAAAAATCAAACAAACAAAAGAGAGAGATTTATTATGTGAAGTGGAAGCAAAATAGTATCTGCTCCACATACATTATATAAATGATTACCTTGTGAGTGAAGTAAAATGTATCGCAAAAAGACAAGAATTGAGTCAAAGACAAGAAGACCAACCATCCCTCTCTCTAGGGTCCCCCTCCAATCCGTTTTCCACTCTACCTATATCAACCAACAACAAATCCCCTCTCTCTCTCTCTCTCTCTCTCTCTCTCTCTCTCTCTCTCTCTCTCTCTCTCTCTCTCTCTCTCTCTCTCTCTCTCTCTCTCTCTCTCTCTCTCTCTCTCTCTCTCTCTCTCTCTCTCTCTCTCTCTCTCTCTCTCTCTCTCTCTCTCTCTCTCTCTCTCTCTCTCTCTCTCTCTCTCTCTCTCTCTCTCTCTCTCTCTCTCTCTCTCTCTCTCTCTCTCTCTCTCTCTCTCTCTCTCTCTCTCTCTCTCTCTCTCTCTCCTCTTTCTCTCTCTAAAATTTCATATTCATATTTTAAGCAAACCCACAAACCATCACTACCATCATTACACTTTCCCACCCCATGAAGCTTTCTACCTCTCTTGTCTCTCAAAAACACCATTCACCTATATAGCTTTCTCAAATATCTCTTTCACAAATCACTTCAAAAACAACCTCAAACTACTTCTTCATAATACTAACCACCCCCCCCCTCTCTCTCTCTCTCTCTCTCTAATGCAAATGAGGAAACCTGATATGATCATGGCAAAAGAACACAACAACCTTAACAAGAACAAACTAAGGAAAGGTCTATGGTCACCTGAGGAAGATGAGAAGTTGATAAGGTACATGATAACTAAAGGACAAGGCTGTTGGAGCGACATTGCTAGAAATGCCGGTCTTCAAAGATGCGGCAAAAGCTGTCGTCTTCGTTGGATTAATTACTTGAGACCCGATCTTAAACGCGGCGCCTTTTCCCCGCAAGAAGAAGAACTCATCATTCATTTCCACTCCATCCTTGGCAACAGGTACATTGAATTCTAACTATACCGATCCAAACCCTAATTTTAAATTGCAGTCTGCAACGGTAATATGATACTGATAGATCAATAGATCAATCGTATAAATAATTAATCATGAATAAACCCTAATTAATTAAACAAGTATTTGGACAATTAAGTGCTGTACATTTTTGTGTGACAGTGTGTTATTATATTATAAAGTGACGTAGTATAAAAGCATGTTAGGGTTTTTGGATGCATTATATCTATTAAGATCTATAGCTTTCATTTTAAGAAACATTGATTATTAATTAAGGTTTATCATGTGCATAGTGGTTATGGTGAAGTTAAGTCTTTTTAGTTACTCATCCTAATTTTTTGTTTGCAATATCATTAAAACAATTTCAGATGGTCTCAGATCGCGGCGCGTCTCCCTGGTCGTACCGACAATGAAATAAAGAATTTTTGGAATTCTACATTGAAGAAGAGATTGAAAAACAGTAGTACTCCATCTCCAAACAATAGTGATATATCGGAACAACCAATGGATAGTGTTTTTGATGTGAAAAATGATATGATGATGCCGATAAACGAGCAAGAACTCATGACATTGTGCATGGATTCATCATCGTCAACTTCATCATCGTCCATGCAATCCATGCAGATGCATGCCATGGGTTTAGCTGAACAATTTGATCCGTTTTCATTGTTGTCGAGTAATCGTTATGACATGACGACGAGTTTTCATGCTCATGCTCATGACATGCCAGCATGCTTAACACAAGTTGGTAACATGGTTGATGATTATGGGATTTTGGAGGATAATAAAATGGGGTTATTAGAAAATGATTTTGAGCTTCCTCCACTAGAAAGTAGAATTAGCATTGAAGACAAGAGTGTCCCAATTGATGATGATCTTAGTATGAAAAGCCATATCAACCACTTCAATAATAGTTGCTTCAATAACACTAATCACATTCAAAACTCTAATGTGGAGGACTTGTTTGGATTTGGAAATCATGGCCAAGGAGAAAACTTAAGAATGGGAGAATGGGATTTGGAGGGTTTAATGCAAGACACATCCTATTTTCCTCCTCTTGATTTTCAAGTTTAATTTTGTGGAATTCCCAATTCTTCTCTCCATCTTCAAATCGAATCGTCTTTACAATGAAGTTGATAATAGATCAATTTTTCTCTCTAAATCTAATGATCTATAATCAGCCGCATCATAAATCTGCCTTAAAGAGTTTAGGTTCTTCGACGAATCCTCCGTTTTTTTTGCAAAATTTTAATTTTTGAATTAATCTAATAGCCGATAGGTAAAACTATCGAATGTTAGGTTAATTTAACGATTGAGATTTGACTACGGGCCGAAGAGGACCAGTTCCTCCATAGCAAATCTCTTGATATTCTTTCTATGATCTCTCTTATACATTATCTCTTTCTTTCTATTATCTTCTCAAATTTCACTTAGTCTTTTCTATGTCTTTCCCACTTCATCTTTCTCTCTTTCCATAGTCTTTTTTGAATCCAATTTGCATATACACAAATGCCTTCAATTAATATACAAGGTGACCAAAAACCTTAGAAAATTTTGGCACTTATTCTTTCTTATCTTTAGTTCTTCCAAAATACATAAACAAAGACACAAACCCTTTTGCTTGTTACATATATAAATTGTTTCTATTGTTTTACAAAATTGCAACCCAATTGTATGTTGTGGTAGATACATATATACATAATTTTGCAATGAAAATTGTGGTATTTGTATAGAATAGGTTTGAGTTTTTTTGCATTCTTTGTGTGCTTGTGAAGCACTTTGTGTCATACTTCGGTAATAGGTTGGTACAATACAAATAATCAAAGGTTCTTATATCTTGAAGAGAAATGTGAATAGTGGTCATTTATAGAAATTGTATGTAGCATTGTTTATAGCATTGGGAATAATGTGGAGTTGCATGTTTTTATATTTTAGTGCAAGGTGTATAGGTTGTAATAGATTCAATTGTAAACACACAAATAAATATATATATATAAAGGAAATTGTGAATTAAGGAGAATCAGTTACAACCATTCAAGATCTTTTTAGTGCATGGTTTGAAAATTGTTTTCATAGACTAAAACAACACTCTATGTGAGTTTCACAACGATTTTCTCTCGTTTTCGTAGAATGAAAATGTTGTAGTGCATGCATGCAATTAAATCAATTTGTAATTTTTTATTTTTAAGTTTGTTTAAGTTATGGTATGGGTTGAAAATAAGACCTTTTGTATTTATGAAAAATGTTTAGGAATATTAAAGGCTTGAATAAAATTTTGATAGGTAGGAGAATTTTTTGTGAAAGAGAGAATTTTGTATTTTTATTGGATATAAAAGTGTAGGATTGCATATTTATTTATAGTACTCTAAGAAGAACTCTAAGCACACTAATTCTCGAGAGTTCTCAACTCTAGAAATTTCAAGAGTATTCTAAAAAATATTACAACTATAAGTATCAGTTTTCAAAATGAAATTGGCGTTTCTTGACGGAGAGGACAGTGATATGGAAAGGAATTATAGATTACAGATACGACAATTCTAGTTTGGTGGTGGCAGTGTCAAGTATCGAAGGTTCTCGCGACTCCAAGAATGGGTGCATCCATTTGGTGGAGAGACTTATCCTCTTTATGCTATGATCATGCTTCTCATTCTGATTTATATGTGAAATTGGTAGCTTGTTCTTTGGGATGTGGGAAGGACATTGCCTTTTGGCACAACATCTGGGCTCACAACTTGTCTTTGAAGGAGTTTCTTCCGAATCTGTTCAACCATCGAGTTCTTGCGAGGCCTTAGGTTGCAGACATGGGCTGTTGGGTTGGTTTTGATTGGAAATGGAATATCTGTTTTCCTTCTTTCCCTGCAGGATCGGAGATGGAAAGGGAGCTTGTGTGTTTGAACGATTTACTGCTGAATGTGAAGCCATCTGTTGACAAGTTTGACTCTTTTAACTGGGTTCTTATGGCCAATAATATTTTCTCTGTCTCTTCCTGCTATGATTGTATCATACAGAACATCCCATCGCCCAAAATCAGTCATGTGTTGAAGAATGCTCTTTCGACTATGTGGGCTTCAAATTTACCGTCAAACATTCAGGTTTTTCTAGGGAAGCTCTTTAGGAACTGTGTGGCTACAAAAGACCAATTGGTTAGGAGGAGGATTTGTATTGTTGGAGATTCTTTGGACTGTCATCTTTGTGGTAATGCTTTGGAATCGATTCACCATGTGTTCTTGGCATGTGATTTTTCTGTCAAGGTTTGGGAAGGTGTTGTAAACTGGTGTGGCTTGGGTGTAGATACGTTTGTACCTTGTATTGAATCTTTCGTTTCGTTTGGTAATACTTCTAGTAAGTTTGTTGGTACTATGAGGGGTAGTATATTTTGGGCATTGACTGTCTGGCACATTTGGCAAAGCAGAAACCAACTTATTTTCAAGGGCATTTCGGCTTCGGTGGATGACACGATAAACAAAGTTAAGTTCTTCTCTTGCAGGTGGCATAACGGAGGAGAAAAATCTTCTAAGTATTTGTTTTATGATTGGTATGTAGAACCATTGGATTGTATTAGTCAAAAGTAGTTTCCTTCTTGTTTGTATTCGGGTTTAGCACCCCTTATACTCTATTAATTTTATTGCTTATTAAAAAAAAGTATCAGTTGTCAATATCTCTAATCAAGCGATCCATCCGTTGTGTTAAAATAACAACATTAATTAGTTCCACCGTAGGATTGGGAAAATTTATCTAGGCCTAAAGATCTTAACAATATGATGTTAACCTGAAATCAAATGTGTATGATGTAGTCACAAAACATGCCAATACACTAAAATTACAACTCTAATGCACAAAATAGAGGACCTAGATGATACAAAATCGAAGATGGAGGCTTTAGACACATTAAATCACAATCATCAAGAAGACTTTTAACGAAGGTGAACATGATATGAAAATACAAATAGGTATCAGATAACACTATGAGAAAGCTGGAAAACTGAATCATATAAGGATTAAGAGAAAGACATGTTGGATTAATTTATTAATTTAATAAATATGACTCATGTAATTAAAAGTTTGACTTAAATTAAAGATACCTTAATGCAATGATCATTTAGGTTGATGGATACTTGATCTACCCTGATCAGAAAAGAACCAGCGGTCTGCCATGCGTCATGAGCTCCTGTGTTCACCGGTGTTAAAGAGGAGGAGGGGGTGTACCTGTAAGGTACTCCGATGTCTAAGTGAGTAACAGAGATTAAAAAGGAAAGTACATAGAGATTAGGTGAGTAGAATGGAATACGTGACCCTCTAGTGAAAGAGGGTATCTATAATGTGCCCCCAGCACAGGGCCAACAGTTACATGGCATTTGGTTGGATTACAAGGCCCAATAGAGTAACTGCCAGGGCTTACATGGCGTAGGAAAGACCAGCACATGGTCTTTGCCCTGGAATGATTTCCCCGTGATCTTCAGAAGGTGGGCTCACCAGCTCTTTTGGAAGTGGGTAGTTGCCTGATGACGTGTCCCTGCATGGGGAATATGTGGAGAACGTGGGGGAAACATGTGAGCTTTCCCCGTGCTAAGTAGTGGTCTCTCTGACGGTAGAGTCAAGTGTGCCCGACCTGGGGAAGATTGGGCCTTGTTGGGCCTTCCCTCATAGTATTGGGTTGGGCCTGCCCGACTGTGGGGCAAGTCTCAGCCCAGTCCATAACAAGAGCTCCCCAAGTCGTTGCTCCTAAGTGGAGGAGTAATGACTTAAGCGCCAATATTAAAGTCGAGGATGTTGTCGTATGTCGAGCTCCTCTATCTCGGGGAGTCGTGCTCGTATAACGTGGCCATGAGTCGCTCTTCATGTTGCCGACAGGGTACAATGGCTCTGCACACGTGGGAGACGCCGGAGGGAACATGCACACACGTTCTTGGGTAGGTCTCAGCCCAGTCCAGAAGAGGAGCCCCCAATTCGTTGCTCCTAAGTGAAGGAGTAATGACTTAAGCACCAATATCAAAGTCGAGGATGCTGTCATATGTTGAGTTCCTTTATCTCGGGGAGTCGTGCTCGCCTACCATGGCCATGAGCCGCTCTTCGTGTTACCGATAGGGTACAACGACTCCATTCACGTGGGAGACCCGGAAGGGAACGGGCATGCGCGTTCCCTGGCAGGAGGAGAATTCGAACGGGTGCGTGAGGTGTATGGTGCCGCCACGTGCTAGGGAAATTAATTCCTAAGGAGGCTAGGAGTAGGGAACTCAAGGGTCTAGGGACGCCTCGATTCTTGTGTTAGGCTTATAAATAGGGGCTGAGTTCGTTTCAGTCGCACGCTTCCCTTCCTCCGTTCAAGACGTTCTCTCTTCTCTTTTTGTGCTTCCCCTTCTCCTCTTTAAGACATTCGTCATCGTCCTGTCTCCCAAGAACCACCGTACCAAGTAAGTCACAACCGCTTTACTCTAGTTTTTTTGTTGCACTTTTCGATAGTTTCTCCGGTGAGTTTGATGAAGCTTCCGGGGAAACTATGAAGTTTCTAGCGAATATGCCATAACTTCTTTGAATTGATGATGCTTCTGATGAAGCCCTCGGGGACCAGTGAAGTCCCCGAGGACGTAGGATGAGTGATTTGAGGATCTGATGAAGGTCTCAAGGACCTGGGATGGGGTCCCCGAGGACATCAGATGAAGGTCCCGAGCATCTGATGAGGGTCCCAAAGACTTTAGATGGAGGCCTCGAGGACCCGTTGGGGATCCTGGGGACCTCTATTGAGGTCTCAGGAATCCTACGCTCGTCTCTTGATGTCATGGTGGGGGGAGAACTTCTCCTAGATGAGCACCCTAGTTGGGTGTTTCCGATAAAGGAGGCCTGCTCGTCAGCCACGTGCCCCTCTTTTCGCCCTTTCATTTGATTTGCGGTGGAAGCGTGGATTTGATCTGGAATGTCGAGTTTATCATTTTTCTGTGTTTTTCAGGTAAATATGGCTGCACGGATTGAGGGGGTCATTGAGATTGACGACGAGCTTGATTCCCCGGTAGTGCAGACCGGCGAGGAGTGACGACGGGCTGTCGCGAATTGGGCTGGGCAGGAGCCCCTGAGTATTCCCTCTCGCTTTGCCGTGGATGAATCTGATGCTTACGCCACTATTTAGGACCGCTGTGAGGGTTCCTCCATGAACTGGAAGATGTATAAACCCCGAGCACACCATCGAATATGCTCGCCTTTCAAAGTGATGAGGTTTCCTATGTACGAATTTACCTTCCGAGAAGCGGGCATGCATATGCCCTTTACTAATTTCCAACAGGGAGTGTTTGACTGGCTGCGGCTGACGCCCTCGCAGCTCCACCCTAACGCGGTCGCATTTATGTGGACGTACAAGCTCATATGTCGGTATCTAACCGTTGGGACCACACTCACTCTTTTCTTCCACATCTTTCATCTTCAACGACATATGTTCGAAGGTTGGCACAACTGGGTGTCCCTGAAGCCGCTGAGGAGACTATTTTGGGCGTATCTAGATTCCATCCATACCTTCAAAGACCGGTACCACGTTATCAAACCCATTACCCATACGGTTGTGGACTCCCTGTATAACCACATGGTTCGGGAGGAGAACGGGCAGCCGAAGGAGGTCTTAGAGTCGAAGTTTCCATTGGAATGGACGGAGGAGCACTTCAAAAAGGGCACATACAATTATATAGTCAGGTCGGGCTCGTTGGATGCTGATGGCCTACCAGAAGCTGGTCAAATTTGTCTCCGGCTTCACTCCCGCGAAATTTGTGACTCCGAACGGAAATTTTATCCTCGACGCTCGTGGGGAGATTCTTCGAGAGTCGCGGTTGATAAACACGAAGGCCCACCTCGAGTGTGTGTCCGACGTGGAAGCCTTACGGTTTTTAGGTAGCGGACCTGCCCCTCGCTCGGGCTCTCTCTATATTTCTGTCGTTGGTTTGCTGTTTGCTAACTTGTTTGTTTTTTCTTTTGCATGTGAAATGTCGAGTATGCAGGAACGTGTAAAGAAGCTGGAGGCCAGAAAAGGTGGAAAGAAGGCCGGTAAGGGGCGAGTCGCCTAAGTACAACTGATCTTCGGTCCCGACCATATGCCAGGAGGTTCATCTTCTTCCCCCAGGGGAGCCAATCTCCATCTTCACAGGGGACGCTAAAAAGGCAGCGGGTCAGTGAGCCCGAAACCGTCGACCTTACGGAGAGTATTTTTATGGAAAAGCTCGTGCTCTTGCCATGCTATTTGCAACCCGATTTCTTATGTGGGCCAATTCCCTCATCTTGGGCGTCGACCAGAAGGTGAGGAAGAAAGCCTTATCGGAGGATATGGCCCCGGTGATACAGGTCTTCAAAACGGCTTTGGTCCTTAACGACGAGACTTGCCCTTCGGCTGACCTAACCAAGCTGTAGAATAATCTCGCGAACGTCGAGGCTGAGAGGAACAAACTAGAGGCTGACCTCGACCAGGCCAAGGAAAGAAATGCTGCCCAACTCAAGCTCTACGGAGAAATGGAGAAGTCGGTGAAGACTGCTGGCGAGGAGAGGATGAAGCTCTTGGCGAGGATTTCTGAGTTGGAAGCGGATGCTCGGTCTGTTGAGGATGAGTCCTCTGAGGAGAAGTTTATGGCATCCTGGGCCGATATGGTGTCGAAGATACGGGAGCTTGAGCAGGAATGTTTAGGGGCTCTCGAAGTGGGCTTTAACTGTGTTGTAGAACAACTCCAGATCATGAACTCGGACATCCAACTCATCAATGAGGGGACATACCCTTATCATCATGTGGTCCAGGGTTGTGTGGTTGCGCCAGAAGCCGAAGAGGAAGATGACAGTCAAGTTATGGTGGGCAACCAACCCGAGGAGAATGAAGCTGTTTAGTGTTTTTTGTTGTATTTCTATTATCTGGCCTGCACGCTGTAGCACCCTAATTTTTGATCATAAGATCCCATCTCTTTAGGCTTTTTCCTGCATGTTATCTTTTACTTATGTGTGCATGTTTGTTGTCACTAACAAGTGTATGCAGGTACTTGGACTTCAAGTGTTTTTTCTTCCAGTCAAGCCTTTCTAACTCAAAGATCCTAATATTCCTCAAAGGTTTCCTCGAAGGGAACTGGGGGGTTCCCATTCCTTGGTAATGAGCTTGGTCGTGTGATAATTGGTTATAGTTTCATGGATTGTTATAAGCTTCGTCTAGTCGAGTTGGTTCTCGTTGATTAATATTTGGAATAAGCGTCATCTTTTGGAGTTTGCTTACTTTTGATTAAATTGAAGGATTGAGATGTGCAAGTTCTGTATACGCCCGAGTTACCTCTTTCTAACCTTAAAGAGAGGTTTGAATTTCACTGTTGGAAACCTATGAGTAATATGTATTAGATTAAGAGTATATTGAATCAAGGGTGGACAAGAGATTTTCACACGGATGTCATCAAATTCTAAATGCAAGATTCATAGCCGAATGATCCATTTAAAAAGCCTTTTAGAGGATTACAAGTTTAATATGTCAAGTGGGAGATTTGTTTTGTTTATATAAGAATTTTGAGTTACAATTCAAATTCAATGTAAACTCAATGGTTCTTTTGCAAGGCCCCGTTCTCGAGCTTCA